AAACTTGGGTCCTTTGCAAGAGCAGTATGTGTTTGCTTGTTTGTTTTTGAGAAAGGCTCACTATGTAGCTCCTGCTGACCTGGAACTCACTATGTAGGCCAAACCTGCCTCCAACTCCTAGCAGTCTGCTGGCCTCTGCCTCTCCAGTGCTGGGATAAAAGTCATGAGCCACCATGGCCAGCACAGTCTGTGCTATTAACCTCAGAACCATCTTTCCAGCTCTGTGATGGACTTATTCTCGACTCTTCATTAAGTTAGATGAGGGTGTTAGGATCTCCACCCTTATCTCCCCCATCTCTCTTTCAGTTTTCCACATTTTGGTAGCTCTACCTTCAGTTGTTTTTTGTATTGTCAGATTGATATTTTCAAACTATTTCATAATCAGAATTTGGGTTTGCTTTTGGTTGTGGTTTGATTCCAAAAGCTAAAAGTAAGAAGAGTGTGTGCTTTTGATTTGAAACATTTGTCTCAGTAGAGTACATAGTACTTTGCCTCTGTAAGTCCAATGATCTCAACCCTTCTGTAGAAATAGAGTATGCCCAGTTGGAACTTTGTTTCCAATGACTCCTTCTCTTAGTTTTTTTTTTTTTATCAGTTCTTCCCTCTTATGACTAAAATTGACTAAAATTTTGTTTACTATTTGGACTGTGATTTCTTGATAGCACTTATTTAAACATTTTATTTCCTGCAGTTTTGAGTGCTTTTTTTCTTTTTTTTTTACTTTTTCCCTCACTAAAATACCAGCTATTGTCTATATACTTAAAGCTATCTTCTATCTATTATATTACTACCTATATCTGTTGCTTGACTACTTTATATCTGTTACATGACATTATACTCCTTTTCCTTCCAGTATGATTTTGATCACTCTGCAGCTAGTTTGTTGTTCTGTCTGGAAGCTTTTTGGATTCTGTTTATATTTTGTGTCAGAAATTCCACAAAGAATTTGTCTGAGTTGAAAATAAAGCCATAGAACCTAATATTTACTGAGTACATTTAGTGGGAATGCTTCTGTATATCATAGCCTTAATTTTTTCTTTTAGTTGTTTATCAGTAATTTATTCTCTATTATTTTTTCTATTATCATTTTCTGCTTTACTGGATATCTATTCATCTGTTTGTCTGTCTATCTCTATATATGTTTTTTACCTTTTATCTCATTTTTTTTATTGGCTTTAGTGAGTGTATTTTATTTTCTAGGAAGTCTTTTCAATTTATTCTTTTACTAATTTGCCATTTTAAGTCACTTCATGTTCTTTTTGATAGTACTCTATTTTATCTTATTCATATACTTAGGTGATTTTGAGTTTCCCTGTGCCATTTCTTCCCTTTTTCTGGTCTTGGGCACTATGTTCCCTCTGATGTCTAAAGACCCTAGTGTGTTTTCATATCTGAAGATAACATCCCCTGCACCCCCCCACACCCTTTTATTAACCTGGAGTTCATTCAGTCAGCTCTTGATTGGCAGGTCTACCTTTTGCAGTTTCTCCTATTGGGAAAGAAAGTATAACTGGGTTTTGGATATAATAACGACACAGTAGGCAGCAGCTTGGGTTTCCCCTATCCCAGTGTGGTGTGCAGAGCTTGCCTCCAGGATCCCACATTTCTGCTCTCATCCTCTGTCTTCATACTTGCCTCTGTATGTTGGGTATTTGCTTCTGGGAGTTCAAAGAGCACTTAAGTAGCTGGATTTGTGCACACAGGCTGACACTGTGGCAACAGATCCTCTTCTGCTCTAAAGACTTGGCTTCCTACTTTATCTAATTTGTTTTGTTGCACAGACAGACA